TACAGAAGATCGTTTTTTAAACTTAGCACATAGGTATTCAGGAGCTAAATTGCTGGCACACTTATAAGCCATAACAGCGTCTCTAAATTTGAGCATCTTGCTAACTGGAAGCCAGTTGAGTTCGTCAAGTAATGGCGTCACGTGGTCATATTTCCGAGCGCCGCAGATAATTTTGCAGCCGAAATTCTGAATAAGTTGCAGCTTTTGGATGTTCTTAGATGAGGTATTAGACCACACGGTCGAACAGTAGAGCATTTTCACATAACACAAATTCTGAATAAGTTGCAGCTTTTGGATGTTCTTAGATGAGGTATTAGACCACACGGTCGAACAGTAGAGCATTTTCACATAACACAAGATATGCTTCAAAAGACAATCTATATAAGCAAAATTCTTCTGACATCTTACACCAACTAACACCTCTTTCTTCAACTCTTGTGTGTATGCTTTATGCTCTCTGCTTTATGCCGTGCTCTTTTTGTTTGTTTGTTTGTTTTTTGTTCTTTGTTTTGTTTTTGTTTTTGTTTTTGCCTTAGCCATTCTTGCTACGCCTTAGCTTATGTCCATCTATTATATTCTTATTTATTCCTTATTTTTCTGTCTTTCATGTATTTTCTATCAATTAAGCTACATTTCAAATATATACATTATATGTCTACAGGCTAACTCGAAAATCTCGCGTTTCATTTAGGCTCTTATCTTAATACATATTTTTTTGTTATCTTAAAAATTAACTAAAAACGTAAATATACAGTACAAAATTTAACCTATCAATATAAGAGAAATGCAGAATAAAGTTGTTGTTGGTGGTGGTGGTCTAAACCAAGTTTAACGCTTACGCTGACAAACGATTTCACGAGCAGAACCAGCTGGATTTTCAAGGTTGCGTTAAACGCAATATTCCAAGTTTGCTTAAACAAAAAGGATATTCACTTTCTTGAAGTTAATACCTCCTTTTTATTTTGCTAGTCTGCTCTCCTCTGTTCTTGTTATCCATGCCAAACGTGTGAACCTGAGCAGCAGCTTCAAGTATTGAATAAGGAAATATCTGGTGGATGCACGGAACGGCGTGAATAAGAAGGGGGAAAAGCGCTTCTCGTCCTTGCAAGGAAGCGTAATTTTTCCTTTAAACCGGGAGAATATTTGTTTTTTCCATTTTATTGCTTCAATGACCGGGCGTGCATTCTCAACTTTTCTCTGGCACTAATAGTCTGTTTTTCGATCTGCATATCGTTAATTTTCGTGCATTATGTCGGTAAACGAAAAATATAATGTAGATTAACTGAAGTTAATACCTGCCCTTGTTTTGGCGAATCTGGTCTCCTCGGTTTTTAATGAACTCCTCTTTGTTAGCTTCATAAATATAAATGATGGAATTTTCGTGGATTATGTCAGAAAACTCCTTATCAGTGGTAAGCTGTGATTGATTTTGTAAATTATGTCCTTTCTGAAGAAAGAAATATCCATTGAAGTTGAATGGCACTTGAAATTGTGATTTATTTCACTCAACAAAAAGTTTGCTTTATATCACCAAACGTTTCTTCTAGTATTTCAGCCTCATTATGAGTTTTTTTTACCGAAAAAATAACAATACGAAAAGAGTCATTTGCTGAATTAATCTCTTTTTTTGAATAATGTAGCTTATTGTAATCTCCGATTTTAAACAATACAATTTCAGCCTGGGAAAACTTTTATAAATAGGCGGTTATAAATCGTAATTTTCAGATCAGTTTATTTAGATACCGTTCGAGAAAAGTTATTGCTCTCTAGCCACAAATATATAGTTAAAAGCGCCAGTGGTAAATTTACAGGAAGATGAATTCTTCAGATTTAACCAACAGCACATCAATTCCGACAGCGGCAACGGCTGAAACCTGTCGTATTTGGAAAGAAGAATATCACAAGGAAAACTACGTCTTTACGCTAGCAGCCGTCATCCTCAACATAGTGACTTGTCCAATGACCGTCTGTGTGAATCTTCTGGTGATAGTTGCTGTAAAAACAAAGCCCAGACTTCAGACCATTTACAACTTGCTGTTGTGTGCCTTGGCAGCGACTGATATGGTGGTAGGAGCTGTGATACAACCGAGTTATGTCGTGGGGGAAATGTCGTTGTTAACAGGTTCCTCACTAACTGAATATTGTACTCAGTATACCAGAATAGCACTCCTTTTTCTCAGCCCTTGTATCGCATCACTATTGCTACTAGCATTGCTGAGCATAGAGCGTTATTTGGCAATGAAATATTCCTTACGATACACAGATATCATAACCAAGGGTCGGGTAGCCACGGCTGTTATTACCTGCTGGGTCATTGCTGTTCTTCCTCCGGTTTTCCTATATTCATCCACACTCCCTCTTCTGCCGTTGATAATAGCTGTTTTCATAGCGAGTGGGAGCCTTATAGTGATTTTTTACTGTCACATTTCTGTCTATTTTGTTACCCGACGTCACATGATAAGAATCAAATCTGAGCAAGTTTCCCGTGATTCAAAGAAGAAATTCTTAGAGGAGAAGAAAGCTGCGATAACTACTAGCATCGTCGTTGGGTTTGTGCTATTTTCCTTCCTACCATCATTGGTGTATAGAGCTTTGCGCCCACTTCCTCTTGACAATTATTCTATAAATCTGTTTATTAGTTTTAAACCCGTTTTACTATCTTCTGTCTTGATTAACTCGCTGTGCAACCCTATTATTTACTGCTGGCGAAGCTCAGTTCTTCGGAAAGCGTTCTTTGAGCTACTTGGAAGAAAGAATTCTGGATAAACGGTTCATGGAAGAAGACTGTTTTAAGCAAATTCTTTTAGATCCGTTTTTTAGAACGTATGAAAACCTCTGTAAATATGGTTGTCAAATTTTGCGACGTGTTGAAAATAGTTGATAGCACTTTTGTCTCCGCTTTTGTTACGCTCTCGGAGTGTTTGACTCACTGTTAAAACAAAGTATTGATTCGTTGAAACCGGCAAGCGTAGGGTATCTCTTTTTTAACTCCGTTGGAGGGAGGGGAAAAAAAGAGAACAGCCCTTTATAAAAGTAAATAAATAAGTAAATGTGAAATAAAGAAATAAAATTTAGAACCAGTATTAAAAATGTACAAGACAAAAGGATAAAATTACCAGGTTACTATACATAGGATTATTATATAAGGTTATAACGATAGAAATGTACAAAATACTACGATAAAAACACTTTCTTTTTAATCTGAAACAATAAAATCGATTTAGTTCCCTGTATTTCTGGATTAAGATGCTGAAATCGTTTGATGCCTGGTATATTGGTTTTTGTTTTCCCAAGTTTGTTTTGGGAGTTGGAAAATGTAGTTTATTACATGTGCACTTGCGGGTATGGTAATTATGAAAGGTAGTGCCATGCTAAAAATTGAAATGTAAGTCAATGATGTTATTCAAGCATCCAAAAATAAAAACGCATCGGTGCATGTGTCGTCTTTGATCTAAACGCCTTTATTTGAAGTTCTTAAGAGCATCTGTAGCGCAAGATGTATTTCGCGTTGTTGAAAAAGTTTTTAGCTGCCTTTTTTTGTTTGATTTGAAGATCGTTCATTAAGGTAGCATTGTTTTTGTCACCCCAATTGATGTTACCGTAATCAAAAACAGGAGACATTGCAGAATGATGATTCTTAAGTTCCCATAACTCTTCTGATAAGTTTAAGTGGCTGGTTTGTCCTCCTCATGATATTTTTAAGGTGATGACCCCAGGACAGATCTTCATTCAGGGTTACACCCAAGTAATTGAAAGTTGTATTGTAGCTTCTTCAGCGGATATCGTTGATACGAATAGTGACCGCGCCTCACGACTTTATAAGGCGCGTACTCACAAATGGAAGAAATCTTGATTTAGAACAGTTAAGAGCAAGGAGCTTTGACTGTAGCCAAAGCGAAGTAGACTCAAAGTCCTTGGTTAGACAGTTCTCTACGTCCTGGTTGATTCGGCAGAATAATAAATAAACGTATCATCATCGTTGAGAATGGTCTTGCAATACTTGAGAAACTGAGGTAGATCATTAACATACGTAATGAACAGAAGTGGTTCCAGTACACTTCCTTGGGACACCCCGACTGTGACTGGCCTCGGAGACGAGAGACTGTTTCCGATGGAGGTGACCAGTTAGCCATTGTCCATATTACCTTGGATGTTCTTAGTCAGATGCGCAAGGGCCACCTTAGTCGACAAGTTTGGGCGAAAACCAAACTCTTCAGGGGCCAAAAGGGTGTTCTCATTGAGTTAGTTGTGCTGCCGAAGCTGAGCAGCTTTCTCGATGATCTTGCTTAGAAGTAGTAAGATTGTAATTGGTCTGTAATCACTTGCACTGGTTCGGTCACCATGCAGATTTACAAACTGGAACCACCTTTCCCTTTTTCCATATAGCATATCGGCAAAACAGCGAAAGTGAGTGATTTATTGAACTAATTGGTAAGACTGTGTGATGACATCAGCAGAATCTTTGAAGAAGGCGAGCGCTGATAGTTCTTATCAAGGTCAATTGCCTTTTTAGTTTTTAAAGAGCTTAGGTATTTCGCGTGCTTCGAAACAAAATACAGCCTCTTGGACTTCTGACTGCCGAACACTTATTTAAACAACGTTGAGCACGAGAAGGAAAAAGTTATCATATACACGGGGAGGAATTTGATAGGCGGCACACCGGTAGGGTATCCACATTTAACACTACCCATTATATCTTTACTGACATAAACTTTCCACCATCAAAAATGCAAGAACTGGTGAACAGATATATCACCCGAATCGTGATCGATAGGTATTAAAAATAGCCTGTTTGTCGAGAAAAAAAACGTCGAGAGCTAAAGCTAATGAGTGACAAATTATACTCTTCTACATCTAGGCATTATAATGGCACCTCTAAGGAATAAATTGCGCGGCAATTGTATCTCGATTGATGCCTCTCGTACTAACTTTGTTATGACAAGAAATTTTTGGGGGGGGTGTGCTCGTAATAGTCTGTTTCGCCTTGGTAGAGTAGACATCGGAAAGAAGAGATGACACGTGTTGTAAGCTAGATAGGAAAAACCGGTAGGAATTGTGGTGTCATTAATACTTTTTATGCTAAACTGTACTTGTTTCTCATTTAACACTTTCAAAGACTCTTTTCCACTGCTAATGTAAAATTCACCGCAATGTAAAAATGCAGACTCATTCTGGTGGTATCATTGCAAAATAAATACTTGTATACTTGGATGACTTTTACGTAAGCTATTTGAGCACTATTGCATTGCAAAATTGTGGCAAATAATATTAAATTTGTGTGTAACTGACGGGCTCTTATTCTTTTCATGTTTTTCTTTCCTGTTTAGGTGTTCACCTTACAATATTCCGCAGGAGCTTAGTGTAATGGCTGTAAATATAATTTGTTATTTTTCATTAAAAATTATTCAAGATTTCGTTAAACGTAATACTATTTAAGATCAGCTTTCTTTAAGTTAATACTTCCTCTTTATTTTGCGAATTTGGTGTTCTCTGTTTTTAATGAATTGTCTTTGTAATTTACAACGATCGTGTGAACCTAAGCAGCAGCTTCAAGTATTGAATTAGGAAAATCTCAGGGCAATGGCGTAACGGCATGAGCAAAAAGAGAAAAAAACGCTTCATGTCCTCAAAGGGAAACATGATTTTNTAAGATCAGCTTTCTTTAAGTTAATACTTCCTCTTTATTTTGCGAATTTGGTGTTCTCTGTTTTTAATGAATTGTCTTTGTAATTTACAACGATCGTGTGAACCTAAGCAGCAGCTTCAAGTATTGAATTAGGAAAATCTCAGGGCAATGGCGTAACGGCATGAGCAAAAAGAGAAAAAAACGCTTCATGTCCTCAAAGGGAAACATGATTTTCCTGTAAAGAGAGGGAACCTTTTTTTTATTATTTATTTTTCACGACAGGGCGTTCAATCTTACGTCTTTTTGTCTTCTCTGATACTAAAATTGCTATGTTTACACTGCATAATTTGTTTCAACCCTGTAAGTCCCAATAGTGACCAACATCAATTTTCCCATAACAATATCCATACACTGTCAAGAGATTAGGTTATGAGAATTAATAAAATGATCACCTAAGAGAAAATGCCTTGATCTTTTATGAAATTCTCTCAACTCATTCTTTAAGGAAACGCGTACAGATCAGTTTGGAGAATTTGTATGTGGTTATTGGGGCTTAAAACGTTAACAAAAAAAGAGTTAGTAGTAATGTCTTAAGTAAGCTAAAATGCCTTTGCTTATGGGAGAAAGAAAGATAAAATTTATTGGAATGACACATTAACGTGTGCCACCAAGCATTTCTTTCTATGCTTCGACATTAAAAAGGTTTTACGTCGTTAAAAAAAAGGGCATTTGCTAAGTTAATCCCTCTTTTGAGGCTGTTCTAGGAAAGTTATTATTTCCACAAGAAAAGGCGAACGTGGTAAACTTCAAGATGGATTCTACAGATCTAACCTACCTTTTTTAGATGAACTGATTTTAATACCATTCTAGAAAGGCTATTAGTCTCTAGCCACAAATGTGTAGTTAAAAGAGAGAGCGCAAAAATTTATAGGAAGATGAACTCTTCAGATCTAACCAACAACACGTCAATTGCGACAGCGGTCACGGCTGTAGTCTGTCGTATTTGGAAAGAAGAATATCACCTGGAAAACTACGTCTCCACCTTAGTAGCCATCATCCTTAACATAGTGACTTGTCCATTGACTATCTGCATGAATCTTTTGGTGATAGTTGCTGTAAAAACGAAGCCCAGACTTCAGACCGTGTACAACATTTTGTTGTGTGCCCTGGCGGCGACTGATATGGTGGTAGGAGCTGTGATACAACCGATTTATGCCGTGGACGAAATGTCGCTGTTAACAGGTTCCTCGTTAACTGAATATTGTACTCGGTATCATAAAACAGTATTGATCGTTCTGACCCCGTCCCTAGCTTCATTGTTATTGCTGGCATTGCTAAGCATGGAGCGTTATTTGGCATTGAAATATTCCTTACGATACGCAGATATCATAACCAAGGGTCGGGTAGCCACGGCTGTTATTACCTGCTGGGTCATCGCAGTTCTTCCTCCAGTTTTCCTATATTCATTTTCACGCCACGTACTGTCTATTATGACAGCTGTTTTCATAAAGAGTGTAAGCTTTGCAGTGATTGCGTACTGTCACATTTCGGTCTTCTTGGTCACCCGTCGTCACATAATTCGAATCAAATCTGAGCAAGTTTCGCAAGACACAAAGAAGAAGTTTCTAGAGGAGAAGAAAGCTGCGATAACTACTTCCATCGTCGTTGGGTTTGTGCTATTTTCCTTTGTACCATTATTGGTGTATACACTTTTACGGCCGCTTCTTCTTAAAAGTTATTTTGGCAATCTGTTTCTCAGTTTTAAACCTGTTTTACAATCTTTTGTCTTGATTAACTCGCTGTGCAACCCTATTATTTACTGCTGGCGAAGCTCAGTTCTTCGGAAAGCCTTATTTGAGCTACTTGGAAGAAAGAATTCTGGATAAACGGTTCATGGAAAAAGATTGTGTTGAGTAAATTCGTTTAGAGCCGATGTTTAGACCGTTTGAAAACCCTATCTCAGAATGGTTGTCAAATTTTCTCATGTTTAGAATACTTGTTGCTTTGTTTTAGCATTTTGTTTGTTTTTTGCATTTGGTGCTCTCAGAATTCAAGCCATTGAGAGCACATCAAGTCATTCAGACACATTAACAGTACCTCCTCAGAAACAAACAGAACATCCTTTGCGTAAGAAATACAGGTATACTGCAAATACTATTGATAACAAAAAGGATTTTTTTCTGTCTAGAAAATTGCTTTTCTGCACCTACGAAGTGTAACATGTGAAGATTTAGGGCTACCATTGTAGATGTTGTAGATGTGCTGCCTGGCTGCCCTCTTGGATTCTCTCAGGAGTGCAAACAACCCTCCAACTGCAATCTCAGTCACACTGAGACTGAAGGAGAAGAAAATATGAAAATTTAATATTGGTGAATTACTATATTCATCATTTTATTGAAAATGTAATAGCAAAAATGAAAAGTTAATTGCAATCATACTTACCTTTTTCAGCCTTACAGATCAGTGTATGAAGTGATGTGGTCCACTGAGCTAAGACTGAGAGAATATGTTATTATACAAACCATTTAAGCTAATATTGAACACCCAGTGTCGTGGAAATAAAAACTCTAAAAACTATTGAAGAATGTTTTTTGCTCAGATATTATTAATATAGTTGTATCACAGACAGCACCATGTGTATCTGTACTGTTCCCCATCAATTGAAGGACTACATTAATCCTGATGGGACATAACAGAACTCTGGACACTACTGACTGTCTGGTTCAAAATTATGCGCTTAAAATATTTTCCATTCTCATTCTTCTTGGATGTAAATGCGGAAAAAAATCTATAATTTTTGCGAGGTCTTATTCCATTTCTTTATGAGCATGCATCAGTGCTAATCCATTTAGTCTGTCTTGCACCATTGCGTTCCTCAACTAAAAAAAATGCCCTTTATTTGAGTGTCAATGTATTTAGCACGGAAGTACTATTTGGGGACACTATTTTTACGTCTCCTACTGGTGACGGGAACGCCATTTTACGTGGTCATCCTTGCCACGCGAAGGCCTAGCCCCTTGCAGTGCAAAGGGAGTACCTTCATTTCTCAGTTAGTTTAAGACTCTGAGTTGTTGGTTCGACCCCGGGAATTGAACCCGCGACCTTTAGCTCTGCAGTCAAGCTCTCTGGCGACTGAGCTAATCCTGCTGCGGTAAGTCTTCAGATTTCGGTGTGTTGAGATGGACCTTTCCAAGATGCTGATGAAATAGGAAGGGTAGATAGATTCATATGAGCATTCTAATGGAACAGACCGCAAATAATTGTTGTTGCGTGTAAAATTATCTACAAGCAGTGACTGTTCATTACTAAGATGCCTATCCATTTTAATGGATAGCAATTGGTATAGGATTTAAAAATCCTATACCAATTGCTAAACATTTTAGGAGGAGCCACCCACAATGTGAGCACAGTTACTGAGATTATCACTGACAGTCCACTGTATCCACATTTGGCACATTAAACGTTCCACGTGACGATCAAAAATGCGATAACTGGTGAACAGACATATCACCCGAATCGTAATTGAGAGGTATTGTAAATGGCCTGCTTGTCGGGAAAAAAACGTCGAGCACTAAAGCTTATGAGTGACAAATTAAGCTCTTCTTACATCTAGGCATTATAATTGCATCTCTAAGGAATAAATTGCGCGGCAGTCGTATCTTGATTTGACGACTCTCATACTAACTTTGTTATGAGGAAAACTTTTTTTGGTGGTGTGCTCGCAATAGTCTGTTTCGCCTTGGTAGAGTAGACACCAGAAAGAAAAGGTGACACGTGCCGTAAGCTGGATAGGAAAAGCGGTAGAAATTGTGGTCTCATTAATACTTTTTAGTCCAGTCAAATTGCGGTTTAGCATCAAACTAATTGCAACAGAACTTTTTTCAACGCCATTTAATAGTTGGATGGCTATTTAACAACATACTAAAAATCCGCCAAAATCGGTTCGGTGAAAGATAAGAAAAATTGGAAATAAAGATTTTTAACTTTGGCCACAGGAAACCCAATTTCAGGAAGATCACGAATTCAGACAAAACATTTACCACAACTGGTAATTGTGTTGTTTTTTTTTCCTCAAGAATATTCGATACAACATCGCTAATGTATTTTGGGTAGTTTTGTTTTAAAAGAACGCCGACTAAATGTGTGAGGAACACCTGGGTCACTGTTTCGTCTTGAGGACTTTACACAGGTTACCCAGTCACTCGTCTGTCTTCACATTCTGTTTTCCAAGCTTTAATTTTTTTCCATGACGGTATTTAAAAGGGAAATTATTAGTCAGTCTGTGTTAACATGGTCAAAAATATTAGGTTTTTTTTGCGCAATACCAGAAATGCAGTACGTATTTTGGCAGTATCACAGGCTGGTAATTTTTTATATATCTGCAGCACGGATGCAAATTTAGTAGCTGACTGATAGTCAACAGTTGATTTGATCACCTTCAGTTAGCTACTAAATTTGCATCCATGCTGCAAGATACGTGCGACTAAATGTATGCAACGGACGATAGCTTTGTATCAGTACAAGCTGTTTAACCTGTTCCATGATTTTCTGTAATAGAGTTTTGTAAGGTAGTTATGTTCAAACCTTGGACACAGTATGTGTGATCTAAATAAGGGACTCTTTTTTTTTTCTCGCGACATGCGCAACCTCCTTTAGGATTATGATTGCGTGCTTTACAATGTGAGTGAATAAATATTCTGCTAAGGATTCCGTCGATTGGTTTATGCTAGATCGTAACGCTCTGCGCTTTTCATTCTGTTGTAAGGGAAATCCAGAAAACCAAGCGCAGTGTGATTGTTCTTTTTTTATCTTCTTCTTGTAGCGAGTCTCAGATTTAGTTTTAATGTATTCAGTTTGTATACACTGCGACAGCCCTTCATTTCTTGGTAAGATGAATAAGTAGATTAATCGCTCTGTGGTCAAAAGGCGTTTATATTCCCTCCTTGCATTTCTTTTGTGAGAAAAACCCTAAACCTTGACCAGTTTTTTTTTTTCGTCAATTGGCAAATGAAGACCTCTTTTTCGATAACGATCATGGGATCCTAGACGTCTGAAAATAATTGCAGTGGTCAATGAAGGCGCGAAAGTACTGGACATATGTACGACATTAATGGGCTTTTCTGACTTAGCTTCTGATGGCCTACCTCTTTTTGCGGAACCAATGTTTCTCTTCTGATGAGCGTTGTGTAACACTTCAACTTAGTGCATGTTAACCTTCTGACTGAGTTGGGTGAATTATGCTCTGGGTGGGGAGTTTCCATTACTCCATAGACTCTTACAAGATATTTTACATATGCATTGTTTTGGCTACCCAGAGTTAATCTTTCCCTTAAAAACAAGCTTCCCTATTATACTATTTCGTTTTCTTGAAACAAACGTTTGGTGGAACCAAAATTATTATGCGATGAATGTTCCGTTAACCCTTTTATTTTTTTTTTGCGAAGGTAACTACACTTTTCCTTAAATGAAAACGCATTTCCCTCTTATCAAACTCATAGGCATTGGAGCTTAACCTGTTCAAAAACTTTGCATTGTTGTCCATCGTAAAGAATTAGTAAAACTATCCTCCCCTCTTCTCCAATTCACTTCATCCTGCTAGAAAAGAACGAGGAAAGGGAAAATAAAAAGAGCGAGGAGAAAGAAAGGATAAGAAGAAAAAAAAGCAATGGCTGCAGTCCTTGTTTTAATGTTGACTTTTTTGGAGTTTTTGAAAGAAAAAGGCTGTTTGAGGAGAGACTTCTATTTTGGCTGTAAGGTTATTAAAAAATCCAGCTCTAATATAATATAAATTTTTCTTACCCTTGTGGCTAATAGAAATCTGATAAAAAAAGGGTAAATTTTAAAAGCTAATAATTAAGTAACGGCTTTCATTTTTCAGGTTTTAAGCCTTACGACTAAATTTGTTGTAGTTTTACAGCCAACAGTTCACTCTATTACTCTATAAGCCTCCTGTTATTTTGGGGTTCCTTGAGTGGAGCATGGGCTTCCTCTGCAAAAGCCAACCGTGTTTAATATTTATTTTGTTTGGAAAAAATAAATTCTTCGTTTTCAATTTTTTAATCACCGAAAGCTAGGTAGCAGTTATTCTTTCTTCTTTCACTTTTCCATAAAAGTAACAAACCCATTTTGTGCATTTTTTGTTGGAACGTGTAATTTCACCTAAATGGGTTCCCTGTGTTAAAAGCTCAAAATGTTTAACGCTTAATTTTGACATGTTGCACCGAACGGATTTCGGCGGATTTTTAGTATGCTACTAGATAGGTCACCATTGCTTAAATGGCCTTGAAAACAATTCTGTTGCAATTAGTTTGATGTTGAGCCTCAAAAATGCCTAGATTGACTGGACTATTTATGGTAAACTGTACTTGTTCCGCATTTAACACTTTCAAAGACTCTTTTCCACCGCAAATGTCAAATTCACTGCAATGCGGACCGTGTGCAGACTCATTCTAGTGGTATCATTGCAAAATAGATACTTGTATACTTAGATGACTTTTACGTAAACTATTTAAGCAATATTGCATTGAAAAGTTGTGGCAAATAATATTAAACTAAATATGTGTGTAACTGACCGGCTTTTATTCTTTCCATGTTTTTCTTTCCTATTTTTGTGTTCACTTAGAATATTTAGCAGGAGCTTAGTGTAATGGCTATGAATATGATTTGTTATTTTTTATTTTAAAAAAAATTATTCAAGGTTTGTTAAACGTTTTATTATTTAAGATCAGCTTTCTTAAAGTTAATACTTCCTCTTTATTTCGCGAATTTGGTGTTCTGTTTTCAATGAACTCTCTTTGTTATTTATAACGATCGTGTGAACCTAAGCAGCAGCTTCAAGTATTGAATTAGGAAAATCTCAGGGCAATGGCGTAACGGCATGAACAAAAAGAGAAAAAAACGATGATATTCCTATAAAAAGAGGGAACCTCTCTTCTCTCTCTTTTTCAATAACAGGGCGTTCAATCTTACGTCTTCTTGTGTTCTCGGATACTAAAATTCCTCTGTTTACACTGCATAATTTGTTTTAACAAAAAAAGGGTTAGTAAGAATGTCTTAAGTAAATTAAGATTCCATTGCTTATGAGGGAAAGAAAGGTGAATTTTAGGAATGACACATTAACGTGTGCCTCTAAGCGTTTCTTCCTACGCTTCGACATTAAAAAGGTTTTACGTCTCTAAAAAAGATAGGGCATTTGCTAAGTTAATCCCTCTTTTGAATTATGTCGGCCTAATTTAATCCCCGATTTCAAACGAAAAGGCAAACTTGATATATGAAGGCGTGTGTGATTTCTTCTTTTGAGATCTGAAGTCGTTCTAGGAAAGTTGTTATTATTTCCACAAGAAAATAAGAAAAGGCAAGCGTGGTAAGCTTTCAAGATGGAAACTACAGACCTTACGTACCTTTTTAGATGAGCTGATTTTGATACCGTTCTAGAAAGGCTATTACTCTCTAAAGCCGCAAATATGAAGTTAAAACATTTTTTTAGGAAGATGAACTCTTCAGATTTAACCAACAACACATCAATTGCGACAGCGGCTACGGCTGTAGTCTGTCGTATTTGGAAAGAAGAATATCACCTGGAAAACTATGTCTCCACCTTAGTAGCCATAATCCTCAACATAGTGACTTGTCCAGTGACCATCTGCATGAATCTTCTGGTGATAGTTGCTGTAAAAACAAAGCCCAGACTTCAGACCATGTACAACTTGCTGTTGTGTGCCCCGGCGGCGACTGATATGGTGGTAGGAGCTGTGGTACAACCGATTTATGCCGTGGGAGAAATATCGCTGTTAACAGGTTCTGTGTCTGAATATTGTACTCAGTACCTTAACACAGTATTCCTCTTTCTGAGTCCGTCCTCGGCATCACTATCATTATTGGCATTGCTAAGCATGGAGCGTTATTTGGCAATGAAATATTCCTTACGATACGCAGATATCATAACCAAGAGTCGGGTAGCCACTGCTGTTATCACCTGCTGGGTCATCGCAGTTCTTCCTCCAGTTTTCCTAGATTCATTTTCACGCCCCGTACTGTCTGTCATGACAGCTGTTTTTATAACGAGCGTCAGCTTTGCAGCGATTACGTACGGTCACATTTCTGTCTTCTTGGTCACCCGTCGTCACATAATTCGAATCAAATCTGAGCAAGTTTCGTAAGACACAAAGAAGAAATTCCTGGAGGAGAAGAAAGCTGCGATAACTACTTCCATCGTCGTTGGGTTTGTGCTTTTTTCCTTCGTACCATTATTGGTGTATACACTTTTACGGCCGCTTCTTCTTAAAAGTTATTTTGGCAATCTGTTTATCAGTTTTAAGCCTGTTGTACTGTCTTTTGTCTTGATTAACTCGCTGTGCAACCCTATTATTTACTGCTGGCGAAGCTCAGTTCTTCGAAAAGCATTCTTTGAGCTACTTGGAAGAAAGAATTCTGGATAAACGGTTCATGGAAAAAGATTGTGTTAATTAAATTCGTTTATAGCCGATGTTTAGACCGTTTGAAACCCTATCTCAGTATGGTTGTCAAATGTTCTCATATTTAGAATACTTGTTGCTTTGTCTTAGCATTTCGTATTTTTCGAAAGTGTTTGACTCGCTGTCTCGACTTTTTTGAACTCGTCACGCTGCAAGGGTAGGGTATCTCTTTCTCTGGGGGGAAGGGGGGCACTTCCTTTTATAACCTATCTCCGGTATGTGTGCAGCGAAGAGGTATGGTTTTTGACCCAAGTGTTTTGAAAATAACAACAGTGGATTTGAAAAAGGACTAACAATCGCACACAATTCTCATCTAAAATCAGTTTACAGAACAACCAGTAAATTCACGTTCCTTTCATTGGTTTTTTTGTTCATTGCATTTACGGAAAAGTACATCTGTCGAAATTATTGGGTGAGTTTTGGTGTCCGTTTTATTCTAATGGAGAACAGTGAATGCAATGAACATAGCACCGAAGAAGGGGGCCTAAATTGTGTGGGTTAGAAACTCCTGCCTCCGTGAAGAACTGAGTCAATTGCTTACTGATAGGTTGCAGAGAGCTTAAGGTAGTAAGAAGGCTGTGAACCGATGTAAAATTGACGAAAATAGAGTATGAAAAGCAATAGGCCTTTTGCAATAGACGGCCACGTGATCAACTTTCTGTAAACACGAAAATAGTTTGCTTTTAGAAATTTTGTTAGCAGGAACTGAAAAAGCATATTAAAATTAGGTACCTATGAATTTTCAGGCGTATATCGCAAAAGAAGCGATTGCAACGGCCGCCGAAATCTAGAAGGATTTGTATGGGAAAAACAACTCTTGCCACCCAGTCATGCTTTTTTTTTTCGCTGGGTAGAGAAGCGCGTAAAGTTATCGTGGAGAATGGTGGGAATCACCCCCTGGGATCGGTAGCACAACTCTACATTTCAAGAAAGAGCGGTGGAAGAGACCTTAGATCAGTTAAAGCGGAGTGTAAAAGCACAAAGATCAAAGCGGCTGTAAAGTTATTTGAAAACCCAGATACGACCATGAGCGCCGTGAGGAAGTTTGAAGAGAAGGCAGTACACCGGGTGTCGCTCAATCATCAAAGATGCTGAAAAGTGTACCTCAGAGCTACGCTTAACTCTGACTTTACAGTATCCTAACCCAAGGGCTACCACAGAGGATGGTGACGAAATAGGAGGAAAAAAGCTTAAGAACACACTGGGAGAAGAGAAATGGAAAGGGAAACTGACTAAAAATAGATGGAAGGACTAAGCAACTATTGTAGCAATTAAAATATAATAATAATAATGATAATAACAGGTCTTATTTCGCGTGCGCCTCAATGCGTTTCCAAAAATTTACTAGTATCACATATTAAAAATAGCTATGTACATAGAGATTACTTCATGGTTAGTGAGTGCGCACGATTTTTATTCACGAGTGAGCGAGATGAATCTTTTAATAATAATACAGCTTTATAGCTTCAATGAAAATGTTCAAACATGTTGAAACCCGTAAAAACATACAAAGTACAAACAAGTACAAAGTTTAAGAAAAGAGCTTAAGGTTTTTGTAAATATAACTCAACTAATCAGAGTCAGATAACGCTATCCACTGGATAAATCTCTCTCGAATGGACAACGTCATTGATTTCCCTGATACTTTTCCGCTGGATAGTGATTTATCCAGTGGTTAGCACTATCCAACGTTTGAACAACCGGAGCCTGAAGAAGAATATAATTAAACCCCTAAGGGAGACTAATGTAGGTGTGGCTCAAGCTTAAACTGACCCTTAAAAGGAGACCATACCAAAACAGGCATTTTTGGTAAATTTCTTAATGCACACCCTTAAGCGATGGCTAAATGGGCAAATATAGTGACTTTCCGTCCCGAACACCCAAAGTGTGACCAACAGTGAGCCATGTTTTTAACCCTCAAGCCGCTGAAAGGACCTTTCTCCCACTGCGCATGATTGCACATCCAGGATTCACCAGCAGAAGTTTGCGGATCTCGACAAGTTCTCTGATTTATCATGATCTTCTGAGGCTGCTGTGTCTAGAATGTCATCAAAAAATGTGAAATTGCAACCATTGTTCAAAACTTTTAAATTTCCAGTTTGGGTTTACCATTTTAATGCGTAACAAACTACATTATCGGGCGATATAATTCGGGCAAATGACTGAAGAAAATTAATATAGACTGTTCACAGTCCCCTATATATTTTTCTGTAGAATCGTCGAGATCGGGCGCTTTGCATAACGGGCGGTCATCTTGGATGCAATGTAAAAGTAAAACCCCGACGCCCGCCCCATCGGTACATAAGAAACCGAGATGGCCGCCCATGGACGATATATCGGAGCTAAGTGAAGAAATTCCATGCTTAAATTATGAGGCATTTAAGAGTCATAATGAACATATCCTGAAAGAATAAGATCACGAAATGTGGAAATCTTCTGCAGCGCAGGCCTATCGTTAGTGGCTGATAGTCTCATTGAAAAAATACTTTGCTTGAGACACGCCCATAGGTTGAATATGAGCAGACTAAAGAGAAAATAGCTGTTTAAAAACTCTCAGCTCTGCTTAGGAATGCGTAATCAAGAGAGACTTGGATGAAGTTACAAACACCATGCCAAAATACTGAAACATGAAAGGAGAATCATCGATCAAAACTGTTGGCAGGAGAGTGCCAACGACAAACCTACATGAAAGAAACTTATCAAAGCTATACCGAAACCTTAGAACAGTCTTGATTGCATCCCCTGCCGGCATGTGAAAATGACGATCCTTATTTCTTTCGTTTCCAGATCAAGCTCATTTCCCCCAAAAGGTAACCAGAATGCCCTTTTAAGAAGGTTGTTACAACTGGAGAATGATATGTTTTTCCAGATTTTTGTAGTTGTGGTTAATTTATAAGAAAGGTCTGGACCTGGATATGAGTAAGTGTGCTAACTATCATTTAAGGCTGGGGTAAGTGAATGTCATTTGGATGTCTGGTGTTGACTGGCAAGTTACTGATTGGTCAACTTTACAAGAATCTCTGTCCACGTCCTTGTTTATATTTCTGTTTATTAGCACAAGAGTTAACCCATAAAATGCTTCGCGATATATACAAATTAAAAATTTAAAAGTTGTAAGTGCTGGTTAACCGGTAATTTCTCTGTTCTTTCTCTCTGGGAAAAATAGCTAATGACCCATACTTCCTTGGTAAAATTTAAGAGGAATTTGTGTTAAAGTATTCAGAATATGGGACTTTAGACTACTTTCCTCATATTAGGATATCTAGCAGTTAACGGTTCTATTCGGTAAAACGCGAATCAAAATAAACGTTATGTGTGGATGCATGTACCTACATTAGAAGACGCTTTCATCGCTTTTAGCTTGATATTTCGCCCTTCATCGCCAGTTGATTCGTTCTAGTGGTCAAAAAAGACAAAGTCAACATTCCTTAAATAGCATGCTCATGGGTTTTGCTTTTAATGTTTTTGTAGTGACGTTTTATAGCCTCTGATGGACACTGTACTTGAATGAAACGTTCCCATATTCCTGTTAGCAAGGACAGCAACCCGAGGCTTGAGCTGACAAAATGTGGTGATTTGTATGAAACTGTCCGCCCAAGCCTCAACCTTCGAGTGGAGGGTGAGATTAGGAAAGGTCTATTAACAAACAAAGGCATTGATAAGTAATGACTAATGCCGATGAAAATATCTGCCTTTAGGGGGTCTCGGTAATCACATCCTTTCTACTTCAAAAATTTGTTTCCGAAATCATTAAGAACAATTTAAGATATATTTATGAACAGCCCACAATGGGCTTTGTATTCCCAACCACAGCAAACAGATGACAATGTGTTGACCATATGATCCTAAGGAACTAAATTCTTCTCCAAGTGGGCCACATGCGTGACGTCACTCCGTCTTGCACTTTGATTTTTACTATTGAAACGTTTCGAATTTTCACTTTGGTCGAAATTGCGTCATATGTGAGCGAAAATGGTGGCTCACAGTGCTGGGTTCTTACAATCTTCAAAGAAAAATTTCATTACTTGTATGTACATTTAATATTACTAACGATTTATCCTTTCAAACAAAGAATGATCCTCGCAGTTGTAAACGCAATTTATGCAATTACTTAAGAAGTCTGAAAAATTATTGTCGATTCAAATATTTCCCCGTTTTTGATTGGCTCAAATCCCCCGGCTAATTTTTCATAGCCAACCGTGGCTTACCGTATTTGGAAAATATTGAATCGATTTGATGATATATTTCTCCAATACACAGTCGCAAACTTATTTGTAGGCAGCAGCGCGGCAGCCTAGCTGTTTTAGCATAAGTGAAGTAAAAAAAAGGTTATCCGAAGACGAAATAGCCGAATAGCTGACTAAACTTGAACAGAACAAACGCAAGAACAAGCAAAAGGTCTCGCTGGATGGACACTCTTGGATAGGATGTGGAGTATCTGCGAGGAAAAAATCATATGTTCACAAAACAGGCGAATTTTTTAGAAGAAAGTCTACGAGGAGGGTAGGTGTTGAGAACGTAAGACGGAATCCATTAGGAAATTGAGTAATTTTAACTTTCAGTGGACAATAGCCTTGTACCAGAACAATTTAAGGAATATTTCATTCTTTTTTACCTTTTTCAAGGGCTAAAGATGTAATTAGTCATCTGTAATAACACCAAAGAAAATTTCTTAAGGGACCCTG